AGACAGAAAGCATTATGGCTCTGTGTGTTTACTGTTATTTAATTGCATTAAAATGCATTCAGTGTTGAATCTGGGTTATCCTGGATTAGCATGGCACTTCATGTGTTAAAGGTAGTATTGAGTATTTGACAGAAATGAATGCATTTTCCTGTTGTTTCTCTGTCTGACAAACAAAAAGATGTGCATTAGGCTTAATATATAAAACATCAGGCACCACAAAAAATGCTCTAAGAAAAACGAAATTTTTAAAAATGTATTGAAAAACAAGTCAAAGATCAAAAGTCAGTTATTAAATCTATTTTAAAAATGCAACATTTTAGGTTTTTTTTGTAAAATATATTTTCATGCTTTGATAGATTACTGGTCTCAAGCAAGTTTCAAAATCTCTACAAACTTTGCCAATAAAACATTACAGATTGTCTGGAAGGTAAAAGTAAACTCAAATCCTAAATACATTTATAACAAACCTGGAAAATTGTCACTAAAAATAAATACAACTATTAGTTAATGACCCAAAACGAACAAACAAAATTACATACAGTAATAAGCAAGTAACAGTTAGTAATATTAAGCTAAATACATAAAGAAATCCCTTTAATGTCACTGTAATCCAGCAGGGTGGGGCATCGGTGGGAGTTTCACCTGTATATGTAAAGCAGGCGAAGGCTTGAAGGTTTATATACAGTTAAACCACTTGTAGTAGATTATTCTAAAAATTAAACCTGTAGATTAAAGAAGTGCTTCACTGTCCGCCTTACCTCTTCCAGTATGTTAGGTCCAGAAATGAGAAAACGGGGGAGCGGCTGGATCCTGGGCTGAGCTCTGTGTCGGACCCCTCGTCTGACAGGTTGCTGTAGCTGGGAGACTGAGCAGGGGAGGCACTGGAGGTGGTGCTGTGGGCATCTGAGTCTAGAGGACAGAATAGGACAAATAATATATATATATGTATATTTTTTTTAAAACCTGAAAAAACCTGAATGAAGTAACAGGAGTGCTACTACAATCCATTAACCCAGTGCGCCTGGAAAGGAAAGGTAAAGTAAAACTGAAACGTTGTGGTACAAACAGATGTGTGCTGGTGTATTTTTAATGTCCCGATCCCACAGAAATAAACACCTTTCCAAACCTACCTTTTTTAGCCATTATTTTGTCATGACTTTACCATTTTCCTCAAATATACATCATAATTACTTACTGTGTCTTTTCAGCTCTTTCTGAAGCCTGTTGATCTGGCTTGGCCGTGCTTTCTTGGAGATGGACTTTATTTTCTTGGGCCTGGAAGTTAACTTTAAGCTGGGACCTCCTCTGGCATCAACAACCTGGATGAGGGACAGGAAACCGGACGAATTTGTATAATTTGGGTTTTATCATCACCATAAAGTGATAGGCCGGTCATGCTGTCAGCACTGAAACTCACATGGTTCCAGTTCTTCTTGGTTCCCACAGGGAGTTTTTTCCACCGTTTCACAAGGAGCACGCAGGCATTACAGATTTCTCCAGACCGGCTTTCGCTCAGTCTGGAAGACAATTTCAGTTTGTGATGAGGAGGAAAAAATGGAAAATCTTTAGCATCAATATGACGTGCACAGCCAAAAAACCATGACAGGTATGGTTTGCCTGCAGCCCCGCACATGCTCAGGTGTATCTCTTACCCAAAGCAACTCCTGAAGTCTTTCTCATAGCGCTTGCTGTCTGTGAAACGAGAGCTTGACGACTTTGCACGGCAGATGCAGCAGCCGTCCAAACTCCTGTACATTTTAGGCTTGTGAAAGCCAAACATCTGCATTCAGGGGAGAAAAAAGGGGGGTTAAATGTTTACATATGATCAGTGTGCACCGAGTGTTTACTGCTGCAGCAGCAGGAGGAGGTGGGGGTGGAGGAGAATACTCCCTTCACCCCTACATTTGCAGTGCAGGTCAGAGGTGAAGCACAAATTTCAGTTAAGTCTGCAGTGAGCGGACAAAAATGTGTTTAATCGCCAACAATGTTCACGGAAAGCAGTTTTGCTGGAGCATCTCTCCGCTTTGACCCACATGGAAGGAGAGACAGAGTGGGGGAAGTAGGTCAACAGTCAGACAGCGTGTCAGACAGATAATGTCACCATGCTGCGCTCACGGGATTCACGCTTCGTTTTGGAAACCCAAAATAAGATTTAGGCACGCAATCAGTGCGAGCCTCCGGGCCGCACAAGATGCGTTATTCGTCACGAGGTGGAAAGACAAACTGCAAAATGTGTACCGCGTTACTAGAGAAATGCCAGTAAAATATTATACATCACTGCGTCCGGGGGAAATTACTCGAAATGTAATAAGCGTGCACAGGAATTATGATTTATGTTGCTAGGCAAAATTTAATCTCTACGGCACATGTAGACCTGAACTGCGGCAAAAACTGTGAGCCGCGCCCCCCAGACTGGGCTTTTTTTTTCCTCTTGCCATCAGTCCTCGGGGTCTTCTGACAGTGCGGTGCCATAGAGAGTAAAAAAGAGCAGGAAAATGGCGAAGAACTCTCACTCTGCATGATTAAATCAGATACTAGATATTGGGCATTTCTGTGGAGAGGTCAGTTTAAAAAGCAACACAAGCCGACATGAAGTAAGTTGCATTGAGAAAGGAATACCAACTCTGGCACTTATTCTAACCTGTGACACAGCTAATATATTAACTGTGGGGAAAAAATGGGCTATACCTTAATTTATAAACGATTTCACGTGGTATCGTTCCTATACAACAACAGAAGAGATTCAATAGCACTTTACTGTTGCGCAGTTTTATTTGTAGTGAAGTGCAAACATTGTTTTTCTATACTAAAGTCCTTTTAAACAAGACGTGCACCTAACTTGCACTTCGAAAGCTAAGAAAGCAGCATTCATTCAAAAAAGAAAATGTAACCAAGCAATTTAAATAATAAAACTAAATAATAAAGGGTAGAAACTAATTTGTTTCTACCCTTCGCGTGCCTCATCTGTAAATTACAGACGATCTCTGCAGCAAAATACAGTACGTGACGCAACTCAACATGGCAACACACTTCAAAGGCGGAGGCAATGTGGCGAAGGGGGTGTGATGCGATTTTCCGCAAAAACTGCAACATTTAAAACAAACGCTAAAAAGAAAGAAAAATCACCGCGAAAAGCTGCCGAACTCGCACGAATAACACCCTCGCCTTTCAGAATAAAAGAAGACACCGAGCAATGTCCTCTTTTTCATCGAGAGAAAAGTGCAAGTCGCCAATTTTCACCGCCCACTCCGCCAGCGAGGAAGCATGGCATGCCACACGACCTGCTTCATGCGCACCCATTTTATGATGACCATCCTCCGCTTCCACGATGCCGAGTTTATACCTCAACTTTATGCTAGGGGATAAACTCGGACTAACGTGTTTCGAGAGCACAAAAAATAACAAATAAAATCGGCGGGCTTGGTGTTAAAGGGGAGCTGCTCTGAAATAAATGTGTAATTTGATCTTTACTCTTTGTTATTCCAGAGCCGCGTCACTGCAACAATCCACAATCGGCTACATGTGCGGCAAGTTCAAAGCGGCGGCTCTCGGAAAGTCGCTTTTCTCTCCGGTTTCTCCCACAAACCACATTTTTTATCCAGCTTGGCTTTCCTGCTTTGGTTGGGGATTACTTTGCGCTCGCGGGAGCGGTTTTGTTGACAGCGGTGGCCGCGTGCTGAGACGCATCTCCGCTCCGGGTGGGCGTGAGAGGTTCAACTTGGCTTGCCTAGCAGACAGAAAATGTGCGGCACACTGCATCCACGCTTGTCTCCTTCTGTACAAGAACACATTTGCAGCCCAGACGCTCACATTAACCCACTTTACCACGTTTACATTACCGATAAATTGTCGCCGAAATGCGCCGAGCCAACCCATAATAATAACAGCAGGAGCACGAGCACCAGCAGCCATCCCCCCCTGCTCCTCTTCGTGCCCGCACGTGAAAGCCCCTTCAAACGCATTTTAAACGCACATTTGCGCTTTTCCCGCTTTCCTCCCACTTTGCCCGGTTAGTTTCGTTGTTTCTAAGGTGACCTACAAATACCGCTGACCACCAAGTCGGGTCCGCGCAGCAGGCCTTAAAAATAAAAAAAGAGCAATTGTTCGTGAGGCATCTCGAAGCTTGTTTCTGAATTACGGCCCTGAAAAGCGCGGCGAACACTTTTAAAAGGCTTTTTAAAGACGAGGCCAGACGAACACAGACAATCGTTACCTTTCTGCGAGTTGTGTGGAGCTGATCCAAAGTAATAACAGTCCGAATACCGCGTCGTTACGCTGTGACTTATGAACATCTACCCTCATCGGTAACCCTCTCCCTTGTTGATGTCTGCGCTTGTGGACGGGACTAGAGTTGTGGACTATTGTGCGCATGCGTGGTATCCACACCTCCATTTCAGAGTAGAGACGAGGGCTTTTTTTTCTTTTTCTTCAATCAAACTATTTACATAAACGACGTATGACGTATGCGTGCGTCTGCATTCTACTGGCCTTATAAGGATGGGAACATTGCGCGGGAACAGGGGGCTCGGCCCCGGTTGCTATGGCACATTGGAGAATGTAAGCAAGGGGGCGGCGCCTGTTGTTTTACTACAGGACGCCAGATGGCTCGTCTGGAGGCCTACGGTTTTTCAGGGGGCTTGGCGTCTTGGACGGCAATGGGGCTTTTTGTTGATTTGAACGGATCAGATTAGTAGTAAATAAAAGGTGGGTGAACGTAAGTCTCCATCCAGTGGTCAGTTTAAGGCTAACAGCAATGCAGAAATTAAAAAAATATATATATATTAGCGCCTTGAGTATAAAAAAAAAAAAAAAAAAAAAAAAAAAAAATCACATAGTTGTATTTTTGTTTTTACATTTACCAAGTTTATAAGAGCAAGATTCTTCATCAGCATCAGTGTAATAGTAGTAAAGTCAACCTTTTAATAGCTGGCAATCATTTTAATCCAAGAGTCTCATCAGATATTTCAGATAAGCGTCACAAAAAACATCAACAAATGGCACTTATTTCAATTTTAACTTTAATCTTGACCACACACTTCATAAATAACAGTTCATTATTTATTGCTTTCTCTAATCTGTATTTAAAGGAGAAAAGAGGCTTGGTCATCATAGGTTACATAGTGCTTGCGGGATAGTGCAGGAGACAGCATTTTTCATAATTCCTCAACTGTTTAATTGGATGCAACATCAACATAATACCTAGCGGTTTTGAGAACATGTACTCTATTCATTGTCTGATTTTTTTTCCCCCTCTCTCCCTCTCTCCCTTTTTTTGCAGACAATTGAAGAGCTTAAAAACAAAACAGCATGACTACTGTCCACACGAGAGAGTGTGTCTGGAGTGGGATCCATTGTTGTTACGCAGACACAAACAAGATGCCTTTGTAGAGGAAAAAAAATATGTCACAAATTCAGTACACCAACAACAAATAGGAACATGGGATGGAAGGATGAAACAATCCTATCAAAGATCTGATGAAGCAAAATATTTACAATCAGAGAGAAGTGAAGGGGGGGGGGGGGGGGGGGCTTTCTGACAAAATGACAAGGACTATTTAAACTGACACAACTAGGACACCAGTTTGGTTCCAGTGTTTTACCAACTGAGGATTTCGTGAGCACAACTCTGCGTCACATGTGACCCCAAACTGAAATAAACAATGAGAAACAGGCCAGACATTACGCAGTATAATAATAGCATAACATATCTATATATATATATATAAAAATTTAACATTATAGAGGGGTATAATAATTTGTTTTGACTATTTGCTAAAATATCAAATGAAATCAAAAATAATTATGGTAATAATAGTAATAACAATAAGGCCTGAGAACTGACGTTTGAGAATACAACACCAAAAGACATAAAAAACAAAAAACAAACATATTCTGGCCATGCATGTGCTTAGTTTAAAATTCAAGTACAAACAACACAGCAGTAGGACAGGTATGGTTATCCTAGTGTTAGGTACAGTATAAATGACGTGAGCAGGGAAAATATTGACTGTAGATGTGAGTTTATTAATAACCCTCCAGTTCTCCTCGAGGAAACAGAACTTCACAGTGTAAACAAGCACAGGACTATTTCCTGAAGCAATCAGAGTATATAAGACATGTACATCAGTGAACAAGGCAATATGTTTGGTGCTTGAGTTGCCAGCGGTTTCGTCTAGCTCACTGTCCATTTTGCTGATCGTGATGATATGACAGAGTCACATTTCGCCAAATGTCCAAATGTACCTCCCTTCCCCACTCTTGGGAAGATGAATATCTGAATCTGTCAGCGTAGCTGCTAAACTCAGAGGTCAGAGGTCAACTCCTTTAACCAGTGCTGTCTCCAGAGTGATGGCGAAATCATTTAGTGTGTGCAGCATGCGAGAGAGGGAGTGTACAGCAGCACGGTCCCGCAGCAGAGCACCGTCCTCGTATGTCCGAGCTGTGAGGGGACAGTCTGCCAGCAGGGGGAGCCACAGAGAGAGAAGCCGGTCCCTGCCAAGACGAGAACACCGATGGTCAATAACGGGGTCATAAATAAAGTTTGTAGAACGTGCTGAAGCTTTCAAGCACTGCAAGGTCAATTGTATTCAGGGCGTCAACTATGATTCTTAAACTTTAATAATATTCTTGAGCTACTATACTGTTATCATTGCAAACTGCTATGATGTATGGTTTGAAGGTGGTAGCACAAACGGGAAACAAATGGAGGTGGAGCTGAAGATACTAAGATCTTCAATGGGAGTGACTCAGACAGACAAGATTAAAAATGAGTGCATCTGAAGGACAGCTCAGTTTAAGCAGTTTGAAGACAAAGTTAAGAGGCCAGATGATTTAGACACAGGAGGGACAGTGGATATGTGGAAGAAAGGACAATAAATTTGGAGATGCCAGGGAAGAAAAAAAGAGGAAGACCACAGAGAAGATTCATGTATGTAGTGAAGGAGGACATGCAGATGGTTGGTGTGACAGAGGAGGATGCTAGGGACAGGGTGAGATGGATACAGATGATCTGGCCAAAAGCAGAAGACGACGACGACCGCTTAAATTATTCTGCTTTATATAAAAGAATAGAAAAGAAAATAACCTTCCTGCCTGTGATTGCTTTAACAACATCTTCCACCTGAGGAACGAGGGTGTCTTGCAAAATGTTTTCTTACAACATCAATTCAGATTTCAAAGGGAGTTTCAAAATCTGCTCACCTAATTCCCAGACAGACAAAAAGTTGGAATTTGCCCTCTTTTCCAATATTTCTAGGAGAGGCGTTGATGGCACTGACGTAGTGGCACAGCAGGTCGCAGGGCGGGCCCTTTGTCAGTGTTGATCCGTGCAGGTCACCCATCTGATCAGCAGTCTCCATGGAAGCCACGGCCTTTTCTGTGGGAAAGCATTGGTGGCCCTTTTTAGTTTAGTTTGCAACTTGAGATGCAGATTAACTCCCCACTAGATCAAGACAGGAAATAGACGTCACCTCTTTGATTTACACTTACCCACAAAGTCCCAAACGAACACATTCCTCTGAAAAAGTCGGTTGGATTTGAGACCATGGAGGAGGAACTTCTCCAAGCAAAGCACCAGACCTCCTTCACCACACAGCAAGACTGTCAGGTTTCCCCTCTGGGGTGATAGGAATGGGAGCAGAGAGTTAATAGACCTACTTCAAACAAAAGCTCATGTTACTGTTTATAACAGTCTCATATTTGTTAAAGTAAACAGAACGTATGCATGTACATTAAAGCTTGTGTACTAAAGACGTTATTAAAATGAATTAGAAGCCTTTTATAGCCAAACTCAAGTGATGCATCAGGTCTCTGCTGTGCTCTTAACGGAGATGAGAAAGGCTAGCCTGATACACAAGAGAAACAAATGAGGCCCGCGCTGGAGAGGCCGGGGTAATGAACCATGTTATAGATAAAAATAACACAGCGGGAGGCTGACAGTTGCTGCAAATATTCTCCTGTCTGCATTAACTATTTTGTCACCCTTTCAGCTTAGTGAGCCGGCAAGTAAAACGAATATAGCACTTGTCTCACACACGCATACACACACCTCTTGTTCAGGTTTGTGGAAATGCTTCACAAGGTTATTTACCGCCTCCCTCATGTCCTCTTGTACTTCAAACGGCATCCCTGAGAAGATGAATGAAGTGCAGTTAGCAACAGGAACACGAGGATGAATAATGAAACTAAGAGGGGAACAGAAAGGTGATCCAGGAGCAGAATCATCTGCTCGTTCAACAAGTAGGTCAACTATTGTGCTAAAGAATGTGTTCTTTGTCAGGACGTACTGCTACGGCTGCCAAGTGATCCGAGGACTGTCCGCACACTCTGAGAAGGAGAGGCCAGCTCCGGAGGAGGTGTCCCTGTCAACCTTCCAGCATCCTCCTCCGCACCAGGTGACACCAGCTGACCAATGAGGACTCTTTCCAAGCTGCCGTCCCCCACGCCTTTACCAAGCCATCGGCCGCAAGGGAACCTTCCAAGAAACAAAGACTGAGCGTTACATTGTATTCAAGATTTTAAAAACGAATAAAGACTACATAAAAAAATAAAATAAAATGAAGGATTTGGCTGAAGGGAGAGCCTTCTATTATCTGCTACGGTTTTGTGTTTTAACTTGAGGCAGTCATTAGGGTCAAAACGAAAAAAAAAACAAAAAACAAACATATTATAGATAATGTAACTTCAGCTATCAAAGTGGTTTGAAAATTCAAATTCACAGAGTCTTTTTCCTCTGCATAAAACAGCTACATACTTTCTGCATCAGCTTTTCTAAGCAACCTTTGGGTTAAAGTGTTTAGAGATTTCAGACATCAGATTTTGAACAGCTGGATCATCTAGCCTTTATTATATTTTTAACACACTATCAGCCTGTGAGCTGATGTTCATAAACATAGTATCAAATGCTGTGCGAGGTCAAACGCAGCTTTCAACGACCGAAGAATATCAGAGGACGAATCTTACTTGTAGGTGTGCCCTGTAATCTCATTGTACACCATCACGCAGTCAATGAGACACTTGGCCAGCAGGCCCGAGTTCTCCTGTCCCAGCTGCAGAGTGCTCAGCCTGCCCAGGTTCTTGCACTGAAATCAAAACCACAAATCACAGTAAGAGCAGCTCTCTGTGTTTGTGTCTCCATCGGCTGTGATGTTACAACAGAGGGATGAATACCAACCTGGAAAAAAATTTCTTGTGTATTCTTTGGGATCTGTCTAACTCCAGAATCGCCCAACTCTCCTGACACACACACCCAAGGATCAACTGTTGCCATGGCGATGCTCAGCTTCTTCATGGGTATTATAACAACACGATATGGAATACCTAGAGAGAGACACGCAAAATCACGTTTTATGCATTTGTCCCTCTTTTTTTATCCACTGCCCAACTCTTCTTGCAATATATTTTGGCATTAGGTTTCATGTTTTCTCTTTGATGTCTAGAGGGAGGGTCTTTTTGCAGGGACACTTTTAATCCGTGTTAATAAGGAGGAAGTTAGTGTGGTTGTCGTAATAAACAGCACAAAAGAAAAAATTTTCTGCTGTTCAAGCTCGCATGACTTACAGACTGAGGTGAAGACACGTGTAAAGCAGAGGTAGTCCACGGTGTTTAGAGAGAGCAGGTGGAACAAAAACTGCTCCCTTTCTTCCTCGCAGAGCAGGAATGCATGAGGTTTGTACAGCTGCCTGTCAGGGGCCCAAGAGAGAACAATATCAGTGATACTGCAAACTAAATTAATAAAAAAGCAATATTTCTGTTTATTTATCAACTGTGAACTCTTACCGGAGCAGCTCCTGATTTGTGAGCAGCTCTTTGAGGTGTTGGGATAGTATTTTCTTCTCTAGAGCCAGGTGGATCCAGGCTCGGGCCTGACCCACATCAGACAGACCCTCACTCATGGTCTGGATAAACCTGGAAGAACGACAGACCGGCTAAAAGGAGCTGCAATATTCAACTTTTACACTAATAATATCCTCTGAGCTCATCTAGAAAACTAAAAGCCCCTTTCATCAACTGCCTCATTACCTCATATCCTGTATTAACGATCCTCTCAGGGGCAAAGCGCCATCATCAACTGTTCTCTGGTCTGAACAGTTAGATCCTGAAAAGGCAGAAAAAGCACCAATTATGAGTCCATTCTTATTTCAGTGATTTCCAAAAGTAGCTCAGTACAGACGGGGGGCTGTGCTCTGACCTGGAGACTCAGCTGGTGCCTCCGTCTTACCCTGGGCAGCTTGGTAGTGAAGCAAATGGGACCAAAGAGCAGACTTCCCCTGTTCACAATAAGCAGTAGTTAATTTCCAGCATGCATGCAATCATCTGCCATTCCAGACATTTTTCTAGGCAGTCTCTTCACATGGAGACATACAGCGCGGTCTTAGCATGCCACGTGAGCTCACCTGTTTCACCTGCAGACCGTGGCCCCATGTTCTCTCCAGCAGGTCACACAGGCCGTGGATGAGTGTGTTTTCCTGCAGGCCTGTGATGCTGGCCTCTCCCTGACCCAGTTCCACACTCTCCTTCCCCATCCTTTCCTTCAGCATCCGTTTGGTCTAAAAAGAAGAAGATTTTTGCATTAACCTTGAGTAAAATAATTAGGAACATTCCTATTTTAAGCACCTAACGAGAGCGCTTACCTTTAGACGACACTCGCTGAGCAGCCCATCAACAAACTCCCGGTGCGTCTGAGTGATAGCTTGAGGCGTCAGGTCAAGTAGTTTAGACTGGCGGAGATTCTTCCTCGCAAAGGTGTATTTCTGTTGAATAAACAGGTAACATATTAGACACACACCCCTTGAAGCCTGCATGCTAATCTGTGTGTGTGTTTTTTGACACACACACTGTAGGTACCTGTCTCTGCTCGTTGTCCACTCCTGACTGATCAGAAACTGTGGATCTCTTGGGTTCAGACCTACGAGAGGCTGTGACACGACTGGACCACCTGATGACACAGCAAAATAAAATCCATAATTTTACACAAATCAGAGTAAACCAGTCACGCCTGGAAATAAAGTTTTAATTATTTTCATTACTCACTAGAAACAGATTTTAATTTAATCTTAATAACAGCAGGAAACGAATCTCACTTGTTGGTGTTCTGTGCCTGGGCAAGGACATCCGCCTGCAGCTTAGGGAAGTAGCCCGGGTGATGACGACCCTGGCCAATCCTCATGTCCAGCAGGTGGGGGTGTATGGCTGTGTGGTCGGCCTTCAGCAGCCTCCGCTCGATGGTCTGACCTGCAGAGAAAAAAGTGAACAAAAAAACATTTATTTTTGTTTGTTTTCATTTGTATTAATTAATTAATTTTTAAAGGGATTTCACATTTCAGTTAAATTAGTTATTTCCATGAATGGCTTGTGCATAACACCCTAACACAGTATAAAAGAAAGTAACCATGTTATGTTATTCTGGAGTCTAACGTATGGACTTTGTGAATTGTGAACAATGCCACAGACCAGCCACAGAGATGAAAGGCTGGCACCACTTCAAAGCTGCAGCTTTGCAGCAGTTTTCACAGGACACAGAGCCCTGCTGTCCTCTGCTTATATAATGCTCACAGACCAGCATGTGCCTCATTCTTCTCTAATTTACTAGTTCTACCCATCTTTTCCCCCTTACATTTCATTCGATCCCATTGCTTTTTGTGTTCCAGTTATCCACCAGGTAATTTGGTTTTTATTTTGTTTCAGTAATGTTGAATGAATTACAGTTTATATGGCTGCATAACCTGGTGCAAGAATCCCCCTAAGCACAGTTTATGCAAAATCCTCAGTGCTTATCACAAAAGGGAGAGAAAGGCCAAGCAGCATAATCACCATATAAACCCAAACAGACGGGCAGATGGTGTCAGATTTGCAGATTCCCTCTGCGAAATCTGGCATCCAGCTTCATTGCATAATTTTGCTCAGATTTCCTTTAATATTTTTGCTATATCCTAATTATATTCTGGAAAAACCATTGGTGAAACAGCGTCAGGCATCTACTTAAAATACAACTAAAGTCATGGATATTTTACACATTTTACAGACCTATCTAAACCATGTGATCATGCTATTGTACTGAAATAACTGCGTTCAGCTGGTATGGAAGAGTCTAATAAAGGGTTTCAGATAAAACTCAGTGCCCCCCTTGTATTATCATAGGTGTTCTACAGGGGTCCACTCCTGGTCCTCCTTACTTCCACACGCAATGCATAAACTATACAATTTGTGCTTGTTTTGAAGTCTAGTAAAACACAGTGTATGCAACTCACTCAGTCACCTGAAAGTATCCAGCCTACTTTCAACATCTAAACCCTTGATGTTTATAAAACTGGAACTGTGCTGAGTGTTATAAATACTTCTAAGACCCACCTGGAACGACTTTACATTTTTTTTGTCTGGACTTGATCAAGCTGACATTGTTTATATGCATGCATTTCCCACCTTCTTTGAAGCCTCGGTGCGCCACAGTGCACTAGCACGTTTCACTCTCAGTTTGTCCTATTAGAAATACAACAGTGGTCCTTCCTTAACCCTCTGGGATCAAAGTCTTAACCCTAATCCTACCCCACACTTTGGGAGAGCAGCACTAACCTTTGCTAGCAAATTGTGGTTTGTAATATCAAACTAAAACAAATACCTGAATCTCAAATATGCATTGAGATGATCTAATATAACACAAAATGTGATTCAGAACATTTTTGCTATTCCATTAGTTTACAAGTATCACTTTCATAAAATATCTAAAAAAAATAAAATAAAAAAATATATACTGTATATTTATGCTTTATGTGTGTGTGTCCTTAAACTGTAGTGTTTTTTTTCTAATTTAATTAAATTTTTTAAATACATAAGTCCCTCTTTGCAATGACAGTACCCATTTAAAGAATTATTATTATTATTATTATTATTATTATTATTATTATTATTATTAATAATAATAATAATAATAATAATAATAATAATAATAATAAGTTACCAGTGGCTTATCACAGGGTTTCATTAGCATGTCCAGCTTATTTAAATTACTATATGTAATTATTAAAATGACGATGAGGCTCCTTTATTTGTGTATGCATATATATTAGCGCTTGTCAGAGCTCCACTAAACTTACAGGAGCTAATAACTTATCTCAGCATATAAACTTTACTGTCCAATTTGCATGAATATCTATGAAAATAAAGTCAGCTCTCGTTAGGACGCCAACATCTAAACTGGTGTTTGTATGTGCTCCTTGTTGGACAGTACAGTATTTATAATAATAATAATAATAATAAGACTTATAAGAACATGTAAAATGTTTCATGCCACATTTCACTTTCCCCCCCATCCCTTTGTGATCCTGGGCACCTTCACAGTACCTGATTCAAAGAGGGTAGTGCATTTCCTGTAAAGACAACTACAGGAATCTTCGCTCCCCGTGTCATACAGTCGTTCTCGCTCTAAACGGCTGTCGAACAGCTGCTGTAGTGGCTCCCTATCTGCCCAGCGAGATATAACCTTCCCATCCACAAAAGAAGAAAACATGGATGTCTCCAAGAACCGGGACAAGAAGTGCAAGTGGCTCGCTGGCTGAACGGAGAGAAAGGAACCCTAAAACATTGAAAAGCAGGGGTTTACTGAATGAAGATATAACAATAATATGACTTATTTCAGATAAATGCAATCTATCAGTCAGTCATCCACTAAAGTACCTTATCAAAGTTGAACATCCCCTCTCGGTTAGTCAACCAAGAGTCCAAATCCAGAGCGCTGTGGATGACGAAGTCATCATATCTGCCAAACATTGCAGCAAAACGTCCTGCAAACACCTCCCTCAGCTGAATATTCAGCTTTGCAGCCTTCAGTTCTTCCTCCTCCTCCTCAAACACGTGTCCCAGTGTCTTCCCTCCATCTGACATCTTTCCTCCTCCACACCTCCTCGCCAGAGCCTGCAGCCTCTCCAGCACCGCCAACTCCTCGCCTCCGAGGTTCCCGTTCCTTCTGTCCTCCATCAGATCCTCCAGCACCAGGCTGCTTAGCCGAGGGGAGGAGGAAGAGGCGGTCGTGGGCTTAGCGATCACACCGCCCTGTGGAGGCAGCCCAAATTGCAACAACACCTCACTCAGTTCCTGAATGAGTTCAGTCTGATCCGGAAACTGGGGAAGGTCTTCAGGAGCTTCGACGCAGTGGTTGTCAATGTCCACGAAGCACAGGTTAGCCTGTGTTAGAATATGAGACAAACCAGACAGTTACAATACGACAAACAATTTTCAGTTTGCCCATCAATCAGATAATCATAATAGGTTTATCCTGTCACAATGTACAGACAGTTATCTCATCCAGACAGAGTGAGTTGAGCTTTACCCTCTAATTAAGCTCTGAGATGGAGATTTACACACAATTAATAGATTCTTAGCATTTCACTTTGATAAGTGCAAAAACGCAAACAGGATATTAGCATGTGAAAGATTATCTGTTATCGTTGCAACAGGAGACAATGTGGAAAGTGCAATATCAGTCGGCGATAGCGATGTGAAACCTTTGCAAAAAAATAAAAAACAACTGTGCCCATAAAGTTGCCAAGCAACAAACCACAGAAAGATTATTTTTTAAAACTGCCTCTGTAAGCAGCAGCGGAGCTCAGCAGTGCTCGACAGTCAGCAGCCACACGACCTTCAGCAGTGACCTCCGGCAGTGAGTTTTTAGCCTCAGGGGAGATGAACTGCAGAATGGACTGTTAAAGTCGACTCTGTTCAGCTTCATCCTTCCTCCAAGTGCCATCACTTCCAAGTGTTTGGTTTTGTTTTTTAACACATCTTTAAACCAAACAAGACAAAGAGGAGAAAGAATAGTCGGGGAGGGTTGTTTCACATTCAGAGACTACACAAACGTTTATTTCACCAGAATTAAGTTATGCTCTGTTTCCTGATTATTCTTCGGATCAGTGGACACACTGGATTTTTTAATGCATATCAAAATGAAGGACTACTAATTAACTGCAAACACTCAAATATGTATGATTAAGATGTTCCTCATTTTCTTCAAATTGCAGGGCCTTGGGGGAAATAAGTGGTGAGCTCTAATTCTGTTTAATAATTCATCCAGCCCCATTATTCTGCATTTCTGGAGCTCTGCACTTTTGCTTTCATCCCCTCAGAGCTGTCTTACCGCTGCCTCTTTTCTGGGGCAGAGAGACTTCAAAGAAGCTTCAGAGGCAAGATATTCATGCAGCATAAAGTGATCTGGGATGCAGGATTGGATTTGAAAGGGGGAGGCAGCTCAGAGGAAATGCATCATCCCAGTTCGACATGCTGGAGGCAAAGGGTGCGCTCCATGAACCATGGAGCGGATAAGCAAATGGCTGCAAGATCGTCTAAGTTTTATGGTATATTTTTAGATCCTTTTATTTTAGCTTCTATTAAAATGTCTGCATCCTGCAGTTTTGACTGGTACATTCACACGGGAAACGGCAAAGACATTTACGCATAATTTTCCCTCTGAGTGATGTACCTCATGTGGCAGATTGAGGGAGGATCGCTGAGCTCCATCTCTGCGCTGGATACCCATCAGGAATGGCACAGGAGCGTCGAGCAGGTGATGTAGTGGTGCAGAAATGATGGGCAGGTAGATGTGTTGCCACTGAAATGGGAACAGCAGTGTGTTGATGCCCTCTGCCACGGTCATCAAACGCTGGTAGTCTGTATACAGAGACATCCGAACAAAGCGTTAAGCCGTCTCTGAGCTCATTCATATTCCTGTTACACAGCACAGTTAATGACTACGGAGGTCTCATCACCATATCACTAAGCTGCACTGTCAGAGCTTCCAAAATTTACCCACAAAAACCCATCTGTCAAACCCAGCACCCCCTCGATCCTAGAACTATGCACACATAGGCTGGGCTTTCCCACTACTTTTTGTTTTAGGACAAACCACTTGCAGGCTTCATGTCATATTATTGTGTTAAATACAAAGAACAGCTGCTTTTCTGTATGTGCAGTCATTATTATTAGAGTTCAAAGGTGTCATTATAAATGTTTTTCATATCCAGCATGTGTGCGCTTCAAAAGTTAAATCAATATTTTAATGATGTCAACAAACAGACTTGATATGATCTCTGAGTGACATGTTAACTCTTCACCCTCTTGCCCAAATATGGTCACTTCTGGTTCCTAAACACGAAATACAGAGTTTAGAAACCAGTGGGTGACATCACCGTGATGATGTCCATCTTTTAAGTACAGTCTGTAGTCTATCCCTGCAGACACCTGTGTTAAAATGCCAACTTTACAGCAATAAAAGACTTTTTACAACCTGCTTATGGCTTTAGGATCTACAGCGAATTTATGTTGCAGTTATTTTTTTATTGAAATCATCCCTTTAAAAACTACTTAAGCTTGAAGTTACACATTATATTGTTTACCTTGTCTGTTACTTACCATGGCAGGTATCTGTCCCCATACAGTCTATGGATGCAGCTATCTAACCAAATTAATTGGCATTAACTGATAACGTAGCACTCCCTATCTAACCCTAACCCTCTTGTCCAAACTTGGCCACTAAGAAAAACCTAACATGGTGGCTGAGCCTCCTTAATGATGATTATGGTGGTCATAGTATGAAACAACACATTTTATGAACATGAATAAGTCAACACATGGACATAAAGCAAGCACGCACAGCACCAGGAGCTTGAAACTGAAGCAGCTGCGTGAGACTCAGCTGTCATTTATTTTCCTAATTACGGCTTTGCTTTTCCTGTTACATGCCAAAATATCTTGCATGCATAAAATCTGTAATTTCAGTGCTTACCTGAAGAGTAAAGCAGGACTTGTGTCTCCAGAAGTGCACAGGTAAGTAGTTTCACCATGCTGTCCACACCCAGGAGGGAGAACGCATCTCCAAGAGGATACTCCCCCAAAGGAAGCTCACCTGGCCCGGGCCGCTGGCAAAGGATGGGCCCTTGCACCCCATGGAACCTCAGCGACCTTCCAGGTGGAGGCAACGGCACCTCGTACAAGATGTTATGGATGTAGCTCTCTAGAGGGAGTGGTGGGGCTGTCTGTGACGTCACAGCCTGGTGGAGCTGAACCAGAAACTGTCGTGAAGCTTGAAGAAAAGGGAGCGGCGTGACGAGGCAGAGGGCTTTGGACACATACAGGGTGTCTCGCGTTGGATCGAAGGAGCCTACACATCCGAGGCAGCCAGACACCCCAGCCAGAGACTCGGCGTCTGACTCATCCAAGCTGCTCGCAAGTGAGTCCATACTGGAGGTGGAGGGTGAGGAGGCAGAGGAAGAGGAGGATGAGGGAGAGGAGGCCAATGAAGAGGAGTGGTGCTCCACATGGTGCATCTGACAGAGTGTCTGCATGGCAGTGATAATCTGAGGACTGGTCACCTCCTCGTAGAAGGTGTGAACAAAGCCGTAGGAACGCGTGCCATCGTCGAAAGAAATCGTAAACGAGTGAAACTGAGGATCGAGTCTGTCTGCTTGAGTGCGAAAGGACAGCCCTCTGGGCATGCAGAGCTGGAGGACAGAGGAGAGAAAACAAGAGATGTTTTAGTACAGAGTGACAATGTTCAATACCGACCTCAAAAAGTATATAAATGGAGGGTTAAACCAAAATATACAACAGCAAACATCAGCATCCTCCATCCTCCAGACACTTCAACCTGATAAAACTGAAGTTTGCCGCCATCAAAAATGGCAATTATTTTAAATATTCTTGTGCTAGCATAGGCTTGATTTTGTCCTACAATGTAATCAGAGCAAAAATCCACCCCTGGGGGGGAAAAAGTGTGGATTAGCTACATAAAATGACATGCTTAAAAAGACCCCAAAAAGTAAAGCAAAGCCAGAGGAAGGTGCTTTTGCACAATATATGAAATGGTCTAGAACAAACCAACACTGATTCCACTCCGTCTGATTACTCATGTAACTGTGAGGCTGATGCTGCTCTCATCATCCAGACCTGTTTTGCATGTTTACATGAAAGCAAGACTGATGAAAAGGGGCAGAAAATAAGCCAGCACGTAACTCCTATTACACTTCCCTCCAGCTGACTTTGCCTCTTCCATTATTCTCCATCAATAGCTGAAAGAGCAACAAAATCATTTGGCCTTCTAACAGGCACATCTTGTCCTTCAGCTGCAGATGTAACAGAAAATGACCAACACTGTGCAATCCAACATCTCACCATGTTGACAGCATCTTTATTGAAGGGGTTCCTGTCTGTATTTTCAGGGTAATGAGCCAAAACCTTCGATTTGAAGGACCGTCGAACAGGGCTGTGCTCAAAGCCCTCACCTGAAAGACAGACAGACAGACAAATTGAGTAAAGAGGTTATTCTATTAATGCAGGGTGACCTTGATCGATGCTGAACCAGAATTCATAATGAGACAGAAAGGACAGACCAGAGGGCATCAGAACATGACAGCAGCTTTGATTAATAAAAAACGACCAGGGCAACCTTGACAGATAGTAAAAAGAAGTTCATGTGCTGCAGCAAAGTGGGAAAAGCCACTCCAAGAGTTATGTAACTCAACTCATTAGCATAAAGAAAAGCAATGCAACAAGCCTCATCCCTGACACTGCAGAAGGGAACTCTTTAAACTGATAAGAGGTGCTGAATTCAAAGTGCATGCAAGAGAACTATATCCCACATAAATTGCTGCAGTGAACACATGCATTGCCTCGTGTGGTTAAAGTATCTCTTTTTTAAATCTCGGCACCATGTGTCAGCTTCTAGCTCGGGTTACATACAAAATGCTGTCTGTGCGAGTAGATGAAGCTGCAGCAAAAAAATAAATAAATGAATAAATAAAAAAACGGGTGTATGATTCACAGAGGGTAATCAGCGAGGTACTTTCATTATTTATCCTCTTTCTAAGGGGGATGCCCTTGAACAGTACTCTTCTTTGTGTTCCCTGCTTTACTAGCACACCATCAACTCTCAGAGACATTCACTGGAATCGCTGCACAAGAACAAAATCATCTGTAAATGCCAAACCAGCTCTGCAGCACTCATTCGACCCTTCAGGAACATCCACATCACCTGCCCACGAAATGACGCACGCCACCTCAAGAAACTGCGCTGCAGGCAGAGCGAGGAGCGAGCCACTTCAAGTCAAACTGACTCAGACCGGTAGGTGGGAGACAGCTAATGGACGAGAGTGACGCGGGGCGGGAATGGCAGTGTTCTTTACTAAGAATACAAATTAGTGTCGGCGCTGAGAGGCACAACTGAGCATCGCTGAAGGAGTTGCCATGGTTTCCATTTCCGCCGTGGCCTCGATGATCGCCATCGAGACAAAGCTTTTGTGCTCGTCACAGGTTACGTCAGCCTGGGTTTTATCAGCTGACCTAATTAAACCGCCACCCCCCCCCCGGCTCTCCTCCTGACACGGGTTCCCACCAAACAGCTTTCACAGACGTAGATGCAGCCTGTGTGTGTTTCACGGGGTAACAGAGCAAGGGGAGGTGGAGTGGAGTGGAGTGGAGGGAGGTTTGTTTTAGTGTTTGAATGAAAGCTTAAAGGCCTGTAATTAGCACATTAACAGACTCACTAGATCCAAGAAATGTGCTGGATGCTTTACATCATCTGTAGGCGTGAGAATAACTATCATTTTCACACCGATTTGTCACAAAAACAGTGACGAATGTCTCATCCAAGTATCCAAATTCATTACAATGGTCACTTTAATATCAGCCGTGTCTTGTTTTTAGTGTTTCATATTCATTCCACTGTCCCTAAAACAGGCCAACTCCATCAGCCACCAGTGAGCAGCCAATAAAGACAGACATCCATCACTTTCACCAACTAAATTACCTTTGCTGTCCCATTCATCACACCATGACATGAGCAGGCATAAAAAGTAGAGAGATATTAAAATGACAGGCGTGTCAGCTGGTACTGACTGATGACACTTTAAATCACTCCACCACTGATGCGCCTGACCACTGAAGGTGACTCGCACGACCAAAAAAAGAAAAGAAATTTTGGTTTTTATCTTAGACTTGAAGCTCAGGAACAAAGAAAGCACCAAGTGCCTAAAAATACGTTGAAAAAACAAACAAACAAATGAATCAAGCAGAATGTCTAATTATATAATGAGATATAGGCTTTACATCTCCCTGCACAATAAAGCTCGCTCTGTGCGATCAGGGACTACTCCACTGATGTCATATCTCTCCCCTATGTAACCATCATCGTGCCTGCACGGGCGCTGAAGCGTCGGCCATTCAGCATTCCAACAGGCAACGTCATGTGAAATCTGATTAGGCTGCAGAAACACAGTGGCATGTATTGAGAGGCTAACAAGGGCAGATTGTCTCTCGGTGGGCATTCACCAATTACACACTCTCACAGAAAGAGGAACTGTATATGGGACACATTTAGAGCACATAGTGGGCTATAACTTGTGGAATACTTGTGAGTAAAGGAGAAAAACCCTCACACAGGGAGAGAAATCCTTTAAAGGAGCAGAGCCCCCCTGCAGCGATGGGTCTGCGATGACCTGCTGTTACATAAGTACAATGGTGTAGCTCAGAGACAGTAGCCAAGGAGGCAGCTTTCTAACCCAGTGGTTAATTAGAGCTTTAAAACAAAACAAAACAAAGAGCAAAAAAACACAACAAGCATGTCTGCTAAAAGCCCCCCCATGAGGAGCTGTTTCACAACAGCTGCTCCAGAGATGAGGAGAATACAGGGTGTGACTGCTGCTCCAGATCTGGAAGTGACGCTCAAGGTATTCAGCACACCTGCGATGTGACCGTTTTCTCACAAACACCGCAGCGCACGTCACACGAGCCTCCTGGGCAGAGTTGTTCTCAGCTCAGTGTCAACAACTGGCTGCAAAAGGAGGTGACGCCACCTGATATTTCTCTATTTCTTAGAGTCTTGTCAACCACAAATAAACCCCAATAAGCAACTGAGATGAGGAGACTTCACCGCAGCCCAAAATATGACATCACATCCCTTTCACCTTCTTGGTTAAAAGAGGAAAATAAGAATGATGGGTCACTTTCTGTTTGAGACCACCCCAAATCACGTGGATTAATCAGTACATTTTGATTCACAGAGGAGTGTATTCTGGGAGCAAACAGCCCTGCCTGGATGTTCCAGCTGTGTTACAGCTTTAACGAGCAGAATTAGGACGCTGCTGTTTTCCCTCGATTCTGCCCTTTCTCTCCTGTGATCCCGAGGCAGGTGTAGCAGTAGATGACTTGCAGAAACCATAAAATAAAATCTAATGTGACACAATACTAGACTGAAAATATGATGAAAACTCAATGAACACAGCCGCCAAGTGATGTGTCCTAAACAGGGGTATAATATAAACAGACCGCACCTGGGATACAAAAGACAATATATCAGAAATATTCCTTTCAATGGCTTAAGACTGATTGGGAAATGATACAATGCACATCATTTGTCTTTGCTTTCACATCCAACTGATACTACATGCTCAGAGACATGTACAAATCCTGCCCAAATATAACCTTATATTTATCACATTTTTCATATATTTGAGGATATTCTGCACAGGCTGCTCACACATATTATTTAGAGCACTGACAGGGAGAAGAAAAATCATATTTAAATGGCTGTCACCCCTCCCCACACAAACAGAGACACAATTGGGCAACACAAATAGGCCTATATGAATTACTAAATATATAACCTGGCTAATGCTGTCATCCAACATAACATGCTGCGTATCTGTGTATTGGCGGGTGTGTCTTTTTGTCCTTAAATATCATCTACCTGCTCCATCGTCCGGCTCCAGGCCCGTCTCCGTGTCCACTCCACACACAACAAAATAGTGGGCGAAACGGCAAGAAGCCGATCCTGTGGCGGCGGCGGTGTTCATCCTCGACGCGTTGTGTTGACGGTGTGACACAGCTCCGTTTACTTCTGCTTAATGCTGTAGGTGTTCATAGCTGGCGCTGGTTTTTAATCCGAAATCCTCGAAGCTCCCGCTGCGCGTCCCGATCCGCACCCACTGAACCGCGCTGTGACTCTGATGGAGTCAGGGTGATCCGGGGATGGTCATCCAGTTTGTTCAGAGGGGGAGGAGGCTGTGTGGAGACAGGCAGGCAGGGAGGGAGGGAGACAAAGGCTTAAAAGCATCAGCGTCCCCCGCTAAAGTCTGCGTCATTTTCACATAGATGTTTACGAAATTCATCTGTAGCGCAAAACAATCAGTCTCATAGATCATCAGGATTCTCATTTATAATTATTATTTTTGTCGGTGGAGATGATTACAATTATTTATTGCACAAATGCAGATCACGGCCGGGAAAACTCTGAAGAAAGAAATTAAAACAACGTTTTCGACATTTTGGATAAAACTCCACTTACCGTTTACTAATTACCGTAATACTGTGAAAACGGTCGTGCGCCCTACAGTTGGCTGTGGATTTGCAGGAGCCTCCTAAAATCTGAGAAAACACTTTAGACCTCAGCGTTTCATTGGAAGTTTTTATGGGAAGTTCGTGTTGCCAACTTTAGGCATGGAGTTTGGAAGTCACGAGCTTATTTTACCAGTCAGGGGATGACTATGACTAATGCATGATGGGAAGTTTTGTGGGAAATGTAGGATCAAATGGTTCTGGTGCTTGATCCCTGAGTCGAGATACTAATAAATAATAAATACATAGTTTTATTAAAAATCTGCAGTTGTGTTAGTTAGCAAGTAACATGAATTTAATGTCACAGCGCAAGAATAAGTGACCTCAGCTTAATTTTAAGATTAATCAACTTGATGTGTTTTTGTTTATCATGTCCTAAAAATGTGATTTTATGAAAATAAATATAAAAATCCCTTTTCACACAGATCTGTTTTGGTTGGATGGATGCCATCTGAGCCAGACAGTTACAGGAACACTTCTCAATTCATTATTGATTAACAAATAAATACACTTGCCAAAAGTCATTAATCACTAACTGAGACCCACTGCTAGATAATACTTCACACTCTTCCCTGACACACAGGCACTAAAGACACCATCAGTCATCCACAACATTTAGAGCCTAACCATCAGCAGTCGAAGCAACTGAACTCCAACTCATTATCTCTATTAGTCGCTATGCTTGCCAAATACCTCCCCAGTTATAAATGATTAAATGGAGTATGGACTTTGTCTTTTGTCTGCGGTGTTTATTTTATTCTGATGTTTTATTTTTTAAACTTGTCTGTTGCGAGATCTCAAACTTTACACTCCATTTACTTTAAGTCAGAGTTGGTGGAGACCATAAAAGTCTTTAAACCTGTGCTGAAGTCAGGGCACACCCTGTGTGCTCCAGCTCTCTGGTGCATATTTACCTCTGTAAAAGATACTGCTATTTCTACATGTTTAGTCTGGAGACCATAAATAAAAAAAATTAAAAAAAGAAAAGAAGAAAATACGTATTTTGGTTCTTGGCCATTGACAGATTTACAGACAGCATCAATTTCAGCGTCTGGTCAGTGACGCACTAAAAGCCCGAGGAGCAGTGAGTGACGTGATGCATTCAGGTTTCTCCTCAGTGAAAGACTTTAGCAACAGCATTTTTCCTGCGACCTACCAAACCGATGAAAATGAAAACACTGTCAACCTTGGTGCCTGAGCATGAACAATCTGATTTTTACATTCTTTATTCAAAATTTCATCCAAAACAACAACAACAACAACAACAACAACAACAACAACAAGACAGAAAAAAAAAAAGTTTACCATGTTGGGTATTTATTGAACCATTCAAACAGACAAACATATGTTCCATTTTATAGGCAAAACGCTTAATTAAATAAATAATAATAATAATAATAATAATAATAATAATAATCCAGGTCACAAGTAAATCAACCTCCTACTCCACATGTCTGGTAAACCCTATTCGCCTGAGATATATTTAGTTTTGGGTTCAATAAAATCAGTGTCTAAACATAAAATAAAGTGCAGCATTTCAACACACCTGGACTGACCCATGCAGTAAAAATCTCGCATTTATCGTCATCTTCTGGGATCACAGTTACATTTTTCATGCACGCTCAACCTCTCAGGTGAATCAGTCTTCTCAGTGCATAGCTTAACATAACAAGGCTTGTATTTAACATTCAATACCATGATTTTTTTGTAAATGAGAAAGAGCTTTCAGATGATCATTGTGACACTGCTTTGTCAGTCTGACAGCTATTTGTGATACTTGCGGCGTCTGTGGAACAACCGAAGCAGTCCAAACATCCTTTTCCTTTTCTAACTTCCTCCAGCTCCTCCCTCAGGGGGATTTGCAGGTATTTGGAGTCCAGTTCACAGAGTGAGAGAGACATTCAGTGACACCAACACAGCCTGGATCAAACCCTTTCAGGCAGCTGTGGTCAGCACATCATTAAAGATAAAAGTTTTCCTGAAATGGTGTAATTCTTAGATGTTTCACATAACTCAGCTAGCACTTCTTAATACTGGCGGGTCAGTGTCTCATCTTGATACACTGAACCCCTCTAAGTTAAATTCACTTTGGCCCGTCTAAGAATCACAACACCCTGCTTCTTAAACTAAAAACACAGCTAAAAGTCTCTCTGAACCACGGTGGGAGGGGGTGGGGGTGCAGTGCACAGGTTCATGCTGTAGGTCATACTAAAACGTTCTCTAGAAAACTTTTGGCAGTGGAGTTGGATTAAGAATTTTCACCTGGAAAGTAGCTTCAGAGATTATTTGTGTTTGCTTTTTTTTTTTTTTTTTTTTTTTTCTTAGGGGAAAGTTCTCAGAAGAAAAATAGGGCACTGTGGATATTTTAGAAGGAAAACAGTCTCTGGCAGCAGGAAAAACAGGAAGAGGTGGCCTGTTTGCACTCCACTGAATGAAAGGGTTCCTCCTGCTTCCTGCTCCCTTATTGCCCATCAGTTAATTGTGGTGTTAGACGCTAGAATGAGGGAAGAGTGGCCAGTGAAGTAGAACAAATTATGTAGCTGTGTTTGAAAATACAGATTCAAGGAACGCTGCAGATATGGAAGGAGTGCAAGCAGTGCATCCACACGTACACATGAATTATACTTCTGCGTCCGATCTACGTCATAACTGGAGCCCCATTTTAATCCTTTTTACATGTCGATGCTGCTACGCAAGTTGGGGGACAGATTTCCCAGAGATCTCCAAATCAAGCTTTAGGCTACACATAGCCTACTCGTCTACAAGATTAATGGCAACTTACATACAAGTTAAGAGGGGAAATGCGATGGTGATGTGATGGTTGGTGGTTTTGGAAGCATAATGGGATGCAGGGAAGGAGGTCTACGTCAAGATACGGGCGACCTGGGCCTGGATCTCTCCATCCGGGTGTGAAAGCAGCTGAACCAATCTGCCGTGTAGCTGGGAGGATTCGTCTAGCATGACCCGGAAGAGGCAATCTTGTTTGCGCCTCAGTTCATCAGCCACTTGGGCTGATGGCCTCCAGGCCTTCAGGTTCCCTGCAAAGGTCAGCAGACGGAGAAGCACTGCAGGAGCTGTTCGTTCATCAAATAGCAGCACCACGGAAGCTGGCGCCTGGGGTAAGAAAGCAAAGAAAAATTTCTAATAAGTCTGCTAACTGCAATTCTGTTTCTTCTGATGGCCTCTTAAGACTAAGCTGCACAGTGCTTGCTCAGTCCCTGTGTATGACAAAAACATGCAAACCTTTTCATGAAGACGGTCAGATAAAGGCTGGATTTTAATTTCCTTTTGGTCTCACCTGAGCTTGAACGATGTCATCCATCATATCTGGGTTCGATGACAAATTCACGAGGACTTTCAGAGTCTGAACCTGAAACAACCAGAGCAGCTTTTACATATGGCACACATTCATGTTAAGATTTAAAGATTATTTCATCCTTATAGCTTTTAACAATCTGCTTATGGGAACTGAAAGAGTTCACGCCCTAAACTTGCAAACCTGTAAGGCTTCATTGCTCACGACCAGCAAGGACAGTAAAAGAGTAACGGATTCCTTCAGCAAGTGTTGATGTTTGTCTGTTACTGAAAGGTTTGTGAGCAGCCGCAGAGCACCGAGCTGAAGGTCCGAGTTCACTGGTGACATCTCAATGAGTTCCAGCACTTGTGGAACATAAACCTGACAGACAGGATGACGTTTTCAGTAAAATGCATCTTCAAAAAACTCACAGCTATATAAACAAATGTAAACAAGAGAGCTGTCTGCCAACAGCTACAGAGAATAATGACTAAATGAAGCAAAATGAAAACAATACCTCGTAGATGTTAAACAGAGTGTAGTAATAATGCCTTTTTACTCTACATGAACATTCGAAGCACTTTAAACAACATGTCTCATTCACAGACACTCTTTTCTACATCAAAAGCCTCTTTTTCACTTGTACCTACTCTGCTCGGCTATTTTCCATTACAATTGAGTACTGTTTATGTACAGCATCACGGCCAAAAGTTGTGACACGTTTTGTATGCGAAACAAACAACACAACAATGAAAGAGATTTTTAAAACTCTTGTTGCCAAGCTATAAAAATCGTGGTTTCGATATTTTTGAAGGAGTCACTCTCATGACTCGTTGAATGATGCCATTGACTGGCCAATCGGTGGCATTCAGCCTTTTGACGCCACATTTTCAGACTGACTGAGCTGACTTGGAACTTCAGCTGAGCAGATGCTAACAAAGTACCTGGTACCAGGTGCTATCACCTAATGAAAAACCTTAAAAACTGCACTGAGTTTAACCAAGCCAAGCTGCGGAGGTACTAGTGGAAGAGAGCTATAAGTGTTGATGATTGAGCAACTCAGGGATCAGCATCTTGCCCAAGGATGCTGTGGTATGCAGACTGGAGCAGCCCCACACAAGTCTGTTAGGGCAGCAGTTGTGTGGGGCTTCTGTGTTCACAATCAGAGCTGTGTGCTTAAGGTAGCTCTCTCTCAAAAAGTAAAAAATCCCCTACTCTTTGAAATCGATCCAAGAGTAGGAAAAAAAAAAAAAAAAAAAAATGTCTGGAGCCTTTAAAGCTACCTGAAACCTAAATCTTTGGCTCACAACGATTACCTGCTACATACTCTGACCACATTATTTGAAATTCTGACTACCAGTATGTTTAATTCTAGCATGCACCATTGTAACAATATGTTAATTAAGAGACCAAGTGACTTTGAATGCGAAATGGATGTTAATACCAGAGGGAATGTCTGAGTATGTCAGAAACTGTTGATTTACTGGGATTTTCCGCAGACAAATCATTTCTAGGGCTTATAAAGAATAGTCCAAAGAAGATAAAATATCCACTCAGCAGCACTTCTTTGGGCAAATATGCCTTGCTGATGTCAAAGGAGAATGGTCAGATAAGAAACCAGTACCTCAAATAACCACTTGTTACAATCGAAGGTAAGCAGAAGAGATTCTGAATGGGCAATTTGCACTGGCTCAAGAGTGGATAAAAGAAGACTGTAAAATTGTTACCTAGTTTGATGATCACAATGTACCTATAACATCCCACCTTTAATGACTTGCTTATCTTTTTAAATTATTTTTTTATAAACAAACTATAGACAAACCATCTCAGCCTCATCTCTCTAACTTTGTAACTGCTCAACCTGAGCTGTCCCTGTGATGCATTTAATTCTGTCCACCCTGGTCACTTCCAACCAGTGTGACTGCCTGTTCTCATTACTCACCTCACTTGTGTGCTGTCCTTTGCTTTTGATGTTTGACCCCGGTATTTAAACACATCCACATTTACTACCTCTGCTCCCTGCATCTTCATCCTTTCACCGGTCTCTCTCTTTCATTCACGTGCATGCATGGAAAAAAACACATCTTAAGAGGAAATGAATATACAACAAACATACCTTTATTTGTTCCTGGTTCTGGATGTTCATACAGAGGTTATTTAAAGCATTCAGAGTCTGCACCCTAACTTCAGGCGCAGGATCAGAAAGGAACCCAGCTATGATATGAATCCCTTCAAATTCCCGTATTAGATTCTGAGGGATTAACAGAGAAGAAAAGAACATTAAAGTCAACCAATAACTCCTCCAATCTATACATTTCGGATACAGTAAATTTACTGTACCTGATTCACAGTGAAGGCAGCACTGTTTCCTAATGTAAGAAGAATCCGACACCTGTCGGAGGGATTATTGCTGGTCTGCAAACAGGACAGGAGCATTTTCAAGTGCTGTGGCTCCAGGTTGTCAGGGGACTGGTGGATGATGTCCCCTATAAAGCATAACATAAAGATGAGATTATGGATCAGTTGTAACCCTTTTCTTTTTCATTTGATTCAAAAGCTTATTTTTAATTATTATCCAAGTCCGAAGATGATGAAATATTCACAAGTTAACAGCGAACAAAAATATTTGAAGATTTTTCTGGAATATTCAGATTTAAATAGCAGCTGGGATTACAGTCCATCTTTAAGGGCTCTGGGGTCCTTACCTGATGCCGTATCTGCTGGTCGGGGACAGATAACATCCAGTCCGGACACTCTGGCCAGCAGACTCCCCGGTTGTATCTTCACTTCACTTTGCTGACTGCCTTTAACCCCAGGATTCTCACCTGTGGCATTTTTCTTGTTCCTCTTGAAACTAATAAGTTTGTATATGCCATAAGAGGCTCCAGCTCCGGCAACTAATCCTAACAAAGCCTTCATGTTGCCGAACCTGGGAGTTATATCGCCCATGCTGCTAGCTGCTATGTCTTTAGCTAAGCTCTGCTAGCTGGCTAGCGTTAAGCTACACGTTATGGATAAATCATTTACCTTACTTGCGAACAAGTCAAGTTTTTTAGTTAGCTAAAACTAATGACACTCCATCGAAACCACAACGAAGGCAACGCAAATCCGTTTTAACAGATTCATTATTCTAAAAAGTGCAGAAGTTTGCCGACAATTGAGGCCAGCTTGGGGTGGCCAAACAAATCTTTCGCTGCGTGACTGATATGGCTTTGTATGTCATTAAAGAGTGTGGTATAATTTGTCTGAACATAGCGTTTTTATGAAGCTTTTAAAATAACCAGAAAGAAACTGAAAAACCGCGAGTAAACAGATCGCATCCGATTCTGCATATTACCGTTAAAAACTTCTGCTGCTCACTAGTTGTCCAACATTTAACCGGACTTAAGGTTTACTTAATCCGTTACCTGGCAACGGTGGATCGTCAAACGAGAGTATACACTTAAAAGTCGTAAAGTGAAAGACATAAAAATGAAATAAGGAGGAGCACCAGTGTAGCTTTTCCTCAGATAAGATTTCCAAAGGGGGAAAAAAAAAAATCAGAATTATACAAAAAATAAATAAATAACATTACCTTAAAAAGTATAACGTTTGTGCAAAGAGCACATCACATCTAAGATTCAATGTTGATTTTGTAAGAAGCTCTCTACTTGTATCAGTTTTGCTTTTTACTTGCTGTCTATTAGTCATTTTAATCTGAAATATCTCATTTGAGTTTCGGAAATTAGGATTACCCACCAACGAATTTATCAAAGTCATTGTCGCATATGCATATAATCCAGTTTTATAAAGTGAAATAATTCTACTAGCTTATAGTCCTTCATATTTATGACTTTAGAATTTCAGAGACTGGGGCTTTTCAAGATTTTCCTTTGTGTCAGATGGCAAACATATGCTGGTGAAGAAAATTGATGCATTTTGATCATTTTACTTTCAAAGGAAGCCATCCTTGCACTGCCAATGATAAACGTTGGGCATATCACCCCACCAACCCCCCGCTGAATGTAAAAGATGAGATCCCAATTTATTTTACTTTTACGGGCTTTACAGCTTCATGTATGTCATGTTGAATCAGTACAGTTGATCATTTCCAGTCTGTGCACTGGCACGTAGACCCCCGGCTTTTCTTGAAACGAACACACGGTGGCTCACTTTCTCTTAATTTTAGCCCTTACTCCTAACCCCTGAAGACCTGTTAGGCCACCAGAAGAGGTCCAGAGAAGATCACGTTCATATTCCCCTGCCCCCCCTTTCACCCACACTTCAACATGTTTCAAGCACATGCAAACAATGACTCATGCATTGCTTGTTTGCATTCCCCACCAATGTTCTTTTCAAGTGGCTTTAATTAGGTTGACTTGATGCTTAAGTTACCATTAAAGTGACTTTCAAAAGCAAGACTTCAGCTACAGCCTTAATGGGATCTGTTTTAGAAGCAGGTTCAACAAACTCCAACTTGATTAATGCTGAGCTGCTGCTTGTGGTTCTAGAAAGTTCAATCAGCTGAATATGTTCAGCTCAAGTTAAGCCTGTGCATAAGCAGTGAAAAATAGCCATCAGCAGAGCTCTAGTACCAGGATTCACCATGGCAACAGGCAAAGAGCAGAGCCTCCATGTATTCACTGGACTGAGTGAATGCATCTTAATGTAGAGGGAGACTTCTCTTTAAAAAACAAAAAACACAACAAAAAAGAAAAACAGTCAGCACCATCCATTCATAAAGCATGAATCCTACCACATTTTAGTTTTCGTTATTTACTTGCAGCCGGATGTGAAACAAATACAGATGCAAGCAAACAAATCTGAACTTAAAAAAAAAAAAAAAAAAAAAACCCACACACAAACAAAAACTGTAGTTCTCCTGTAAATCGGATTACCTTGATTGTTTTCGAAAACAATCTCAATTTACACATTTCAGAAATTAATTTTTTGTTTAAACATGATGTCTGACTGAACCTATTGCAGTATAAATTACAAACAGAATATAATCAGACCTACAGCCTGGATTTAAAAACTCATTTTAAATATTTAATCCTGTTTTAGAACCAAGTCAATTCAGACTGATCTTCACACCAATATTTATGTCATGTCCAACATGATGTCAACTCTAAAACAAATGCAGATGACCTATTAGACAGTTACAGCTGCTTTTCTGTCCACAAAGTTAAATGGATATAGACTGTAGAATTTATTCTGGACTGCTAATATATCCAGCAAACTGTTTTTATCCTTACACTGAAGATGTATAATAAAGACTACCATCAAATGTGGCAATCAAGACAAGTCAAAATTGTAACACTTTCAGGTTCTTACATAAATAGTCGATGTAGGTAGAAGAACAGGAAATTGATTTGCAGCTGAAGACCAATCCTATTATTACAATAAATCTATAAGTTTTTAGGTGTTAAAGAATGGCCATTAAGATTACGAATACTTCTATTTACATAGACCACTTGTCAGTAATGTTACCCGCAAATAAAATCCAGACATTGGAAGGGGAGAAAAACCAAAAAAAAAACAAACCTTAAAAGAACTTCTGTGGACCTAAAAGCTTGATTTCATTATCAGAGTCACCTGCACTACTTTAATGCTTTTTAGATGCAACGTCTTATATTCTGAAGCTGTAGCAGCTCGCATGATCCTGGAGAAACTTTGCAATATCCAGGAGAAAGTCTGCAACAGTAGTTTTAGTATTATAGGTCAATATGCTTATGAAATCAAACCTTCAGGTAAATAAAAAGCTCCCTCATCTGTGGAGCCAGCTCTCAGTTTGTATTCAAGAGACAGACACGCTGTCTACTGTTAAGATTCGGATTAAGACTTTCCTTTTTCATAAAGCATATAGTTAGGGCCTGATCGGGTGACTCTGAATCCTCCCTTAGTTGCACTGCAACAGGCCTAGGCTGCTGGGGGCTTCCCATGATGCACTTCTTCACTCGCTGTGTTTATAGACCATTTTGCATTTAATTATTATTTATCCATCTCTGACAGTCTCCCACAGCATGTCTTTTGTCCCGTCTTCCCTCTCTCACACCCAGTTGGAGCAGATGGCCACCCCTCCCTGAAACCGGTTCTGCTGGAGGTTTCTTCCTATTTAAAGGGAGTTTTTCCTTCCCACTGTCTCCAAACCCTCGCTCAAAATGTGGTCGTCTGATTGTTTGGGTTTTCTCTGTATTATTGCAGGGTCTTAATGTTACAGTGTAAATCACCTCAAGGCAACTGTTGTTGTGGTGCTATATAAATAAAATTAATGTTTAAAAAAAAAAAAAAAAAAAAAAATCAGAAACACTGGAGAAACTGCCTACTGAATGCATTACACTTCCATACAAGACTGATACAGATGTTTTAAAGTTGAATAAGGTCAGTCCAGTTTCAGTGCTCAGTTTTAGTATTTACTTAGTAATGCGATGCTTTGTTTTCTATTTAAAGGACAGATTTCCAGGACAGCAGATGTGTTCACAGACAAAAACACTACAACATCTTTGTTTTCATACCTTCAAAAATGTGTTCATCATTCTTCCCGGTCTTGCACATTGAGTTATCGTGTCCTTTCATTCATGCCATCTTCTGACCAGTCTCCACTGATTGTTATTACTCTTCCCTTGCACCGTACGGGGTGTGAAACAGACCTTTGACAGATATGCTACGGCCCGTGTGAAGCGGTTTTTGGATTTAACGTATGGCGATGATGGAGATGTATTACGGGACTCTTGAGGAAGAAGGCTTTTTGTGTTCCTCTTAATCACACACTTAGGCATCAAACCTGTAGGCTTAGGCTGCTGTTCAGAAGGCCAGTTGGCCAAGTGTCTGGGCCGTCGACTCACACTGACTCGAGGCATGTGCCTGTTTGATTGCATGAAAGGCCGTAAACGTTCAGACCTCACAGTTTGCCTTTGTGGTTTAGAAAATGAGCCCAGTGTGTTTCTTACTCCATAAGATGTAAGCCCACTCTGGGGTGGATTTCTCAATCTATTGTAATGTGGTTTCTGAAAGGCAGAAAAGAGTTCTTGATTGTAGAGGTTTGAATTCTCATGTTTTGCACCGGCATTTAGGACGAAGGGAACAGCACTGACTTTCTGGTATCCGGGAACAAAACTCAAGGGTTTGGCGGTAAACATCCAGCGAGCTCTGTCCATCTGTTTTTGCTTATAATGAGGAATTTGCGGGTATTGTGGGCTTCTTTGATAACCCATGTGACCTCTTCTCCATTGGGGTAACGGGTCATTAAAGCTTAAAGAGACAGAACCACTTTGAGGCCAGTGAATGTTGGAAGCATATTTTATAGTCCTTAACTCTTTGCTGTCAGTGGGTTTACCCGGCTGGACTGAAGCACCTATTCTTGTCTTGTATTTGGGCCAATAATGCTGCATGGAAAGGGGATGCTTTTTGCCATAGGAATATGCAGATGGTAGGTTTTTTGCAGGTGGGACATCAGTTTGACTTGCTCTGTGGAAGTCTTTAGTGAGTTCAAAGCCACCAGGTGGTCTCCAGTACCCCATTAAAGGATCTCTACTGTAAGAGGCATGTACTGGTTTTAGCATATCCTTCCAATAAGGTGTTAAATTTGAGGTCTCACTTGAATACTGGCTGAAATCTTGAGATGGGCTGTTTGCAGGGTTCACAGGGGGTGCAGTCACATGTTCACTATAGGAAGAACCGTGCCTGTGAAAGGAGCTGGAGGGAAATTGTGTTTTTTCTGGTGGTTTGTGTCGTTCTGACTCCACACTCACAGATAAGTCATTGTTTCCCCAGGGAAAACCGTGCGCCAAATTTCTTGAAGCAAGACCTGTGGCTGCTAAATGATCGTGTGGGTAGAAAGTGGTGCCCGGCCTAAATTTTTGGTTGCCATAAACACTGGAAGAAATGAGACTTGCAGAGGAGTCGAAAGGATCAGGGAAAGAGAGGCGTTTATTTGGCGTTTGGTAGTTGGCACCTTCTTCAATCCGATCGTTATTTATCCTGCTGTCACCAGAGGCAGTACCTCCTTTGTCAGGAGTTGGTCCATAGTCCATGGGTGTTCCGAGAGTTTTCATTTTTTCCCGTGCAGTTTCAAAATGTCTACTCAAGTCACTTCCTGGTACTAAGAAGGAACGCTTCATGTTTTCTATAAACTCCTTTAAATGACTCATTGTGGGGAAAGCGACACCCTTC